GGTTAGTAGGATAAACAAAGAGGATTCAGAGAGCTATTGATTCAAAACAGATTCTTTCACCAGCTTAGCACAAATTCAGTTTGCATTTGCAAAGTATGGTCAAGAAAGTTAAGCCACTCAGAGAAACATAGTGTGGATAACACATTGCCTTTAACGCCTTGGCAATTAAATGAGAGTAGAATGCAGAAGTCAACAGGCACAGATCATGTTTTATTTTTCTCATTAGTTTACTGTTCGAATGCCAAATATATTAGATATTTTATCATCTCTCCAAAAATAGTTATAGTAAAGGTTATGATTGTGTTATACCTCTACTGAAAATATTGCAGATATGTTCTAGTTTAGGCCTGGCACTTCAGGGAAAGAGGTGTAATAACAGAACGGCACGTTTTATAAGCGCTATTCGCTTCTGTAAAAGAAGAACCTTAAGCTCAGATTAATGTTGTAAGAAGTGTCATTTGCTAACGCATGAATGACAACTTACCCAAATGGGTGAGTGTGTATGTGTTTGTGTGTGTGTGTGCGCGTGCTTGTGTATGCCTGTGTGTGTGTGTGAGTGTCTGTGTGTGTGTGTGAGAGAGAGAGAGAGAAAGAGAGAGAGAGAAGAGAGAGAGAGAAGAGAGAGAGAGAGGAGAGAGAGAGAGNGAGAGAGAGAGAGAGAGAGAGAGAGAGAGAGAGAGAGAGAGAGAGAGAGAGAGAGAAGTAGAGAAGACTGGTTGCTTCTTTACCAAAGCCTTCACTCTGTGCAATAGTTGCTGTTAATATATGTGCGTTGTGAATTGTAGCAGAGAAATGGGGTTGAATCTTCCCAAAGGCACAGGAGAGTAGGGATATGGCTACATTTCCATCTGAGGCTATATCCAGAGGCAGAAGCAGAAGCTATGCCAGCTCAGTGCAATAGCGTGTGGTTACTTATGCGTGATGATACAATTTCAGGCAGAAATCAAATATTCTTTTGGCCACTTTTAGAATGCTATATTCTCAAGGTGTATAATATTACCAACTTTTTTGTTTGACTTTTTCCTCCTGCATTCCACACTGAACTGAAGACTGAGAAGACAGTACTTTTCCAAGATGGTTTGTTTCAAGATGTTTTATTTCCAAGGGACTTGTGGCAGCAACCAGAGAGGAAAGAGTGGCCCACATTTTAGAAACCACAAAGCACACACAAGGAAATTATAGTTTACTATTTTTGTAAATGTGAAGGTCAATTTTTATTGTGATTCCCATTCTATCTCGAGGTCCTGATGGCTCCATGCCCACAGGCTTCACCCTTGTGGTTTCCAGCCTTGCGAGAGCACTTTGAAAAGAATTACTGTCCGCAAATCCCCACTGACTGCTATTCCTCAAGATACAGTACAGAATTTCCACGAAACTGCCCAATGGTTCCTGGACAAATCAGGTGTTGAATGAAATATACTCTTTCCTCTCAATCTTTCTTTCAGATTAGTTATTTATATTAGTTCTTAGAATAATAATGGTCTTTGCTTATGTTTGTCAAGAGGAAAATGTTGCAAATCTTAGCAAGTCATCTATTCTTTATCTCAAAATCATATGTAAAGAAAAAGATTGGGGAACGGCTATGTAAATTCAAGTCTAAAAATAATGAAAATAGTGCATCCGATAAGCAATATATACATTGAGATATTGCCTAAATGACGCTGAATGATGAATAAAATCAATTTAAAAAGATTCTCTTTGCATAAGTGTACTTTTAATATCTAGACAAGGAAAGTCAGTATTAAACAGCCAGGCGCATTAATCAGAACAGTGTGGAACATATTTTAATGTTAAGCAGAACTACAATAAAAACATCTCATTGAAATAAAATCATCGTGTTTTTATTTCATTAAGTAAAAATAACTGGGGAGAATTAAGAATTCCCAAGAAATTGCCTTACTAAAGCATCTAAAAATGTGAAGGTGCATACTCAGTATGCTGCTGCGATTCACTGACCTTTCTAGTGTCAGTTAGACCCAAGTCCCTACTTTGAACTTGTTAACTATAGAGAATGGGTGGACCTCAGTGTGCCTAGAAATGGCAAAGTCCAACTATTCATTGTTTATATCACTCTATAAGATCCGCAAACATTTGTAATGAACTTTGAAAGTCCGAGGTTGGTCTCCTACAGATGCACTTCTGAATTTAAGATTATATTATGCATCAGGACACTGCAAGGATGTGCGATTTTTGATTTTTGTAGTAGCTGAAATAATTGCATGTGAGCAAGAAGTCAAATTTCAGATGTTAGGAGGGAGGGAGGAAAAAGAGAGGGAGGGAGAGAGGAGAGAGAGAGAACAAGAGAGGGGAGGACATGTTGAGATGAATTACTTTGGAAACCTTATAAAAGTTCAATAGAATATTCTTCCACCATGAGAATCGAATATACTGATTCATTCATTGAGTAGCCGAATCTACTCAATACTTTGTAATTGCATTTAGTATAAAATTTAGGTAACTTGTCAGACAAATATTATTAGCGTCACTGTTCTGACAGAAACAATTTGATAACCGTAGACCGCTACTGTGGTCCAGACCATAAGAAGACTACATCAAAGTTTTCACTCACTGTATAGAACTCCATTACATATAACAATAACAAGAAGATACCACTTTTGTTCCATATTCAGCATTAATTTACTAATAAATCATGTCTCATTTTCATAGGAACTCCACCTGTGCTCTTTTCACTGCAAACTGTTTGTTCCTGGAGTTAATGTCTCCATGAGTCCAGAGGGGAGTGACGCTAGCCACAGCACTAGTGGTGGTCAGCTCTGCTTGGTGGAAGAATTCCGCGTCAGATTTTTCTATCGATATCAAGGCTATCCCCACTCTTGTTGTCATCCTTGTGCTGTTGGTGTGTATTGACAGTGTTTGTTATTGTGCACCTGCACACCTGTGTGTGGAGATATGCTCACGTGTTGGTGTGTATTGAGAGTATTTGTTATTGTGCCCAGGAGCACCTGTGTATGGAGATTTGATCATGTGTTGGTGTGCATTGAGAGTGATTGTTATGTGCACAGGAGCACCTGTGTATGGAGATTTGATCATGTGTTGGTGTGCATTGAGAGTGATTGTTATGTGCACAGGAGCACCTGTGTATGGAGATATGCTCACATGCTGGTACTTGTACAAAGGAAGGACCGTGGTCCACATCAGGGTCTCATTGGTCTCTCCCTTCGTTATTTGACATTGGGTCTCACACTGAACCTGATCTCAGAAGCCAGATGTCCAATGAGTTTTATGTATCTGTCTTTCTTTACCCACTGCAAGCCAGGATTCTGGGAGTGCTCTGCCACTTTGGCTTTTGTTTTGTGCCACCAGGATCCAATCTCTGTTGTCCCTTGCTTGTGTCGTAGACACCTTAGCAACCAATTCATTTTCTCAGGTCAGAAAAATCATTTTAAAATTTAATTTATTACATAAAACTTAAAATGTTAGAAAAAAAATGGAATGAATTGGTTTCGAATGACTACTCTGAATTTATTTGCTGGTCTAGTAAATAGGATATTGTGGTTTATAATTAGCAGACTCTGACTTCTGATCTAACTCCGTCCAGATTTCTCTGAAGAGTCCACTCAAGATTTCTTTCTGTATCTCTATATAGTTTAGTTTTAGCAAAAATCCCGCTAGAAAGTTTAATGAAACATCCTTGGTCCCTAATATCTCATCTGCTTCACTACCGCTTAACCCTGTGTGTTTATCACTCTGGTTTGTCCTCCGAAAGAATCCTGTAAACTCATTCCTGAGAATTCCCTTTAATCTAGGAGTTTCATCCCAGCAACCCACTCCAACGCTCATCCTACTTCCTGACTGTAAATCTCTACTTGTCCATGTATTCTGACTGAACTCTGATTTCTCTTCCCATCTACAAATCCAACTGAGTAGGCCTTGGCACCTCTAAATAGTTTCACAATTAATTTTTCCGTATACTGTCTGTATTTGGCAGGTAATTTGCAACGACAGACTTCCAGTGTCTGTTAATAAACAGATACATCAAGGATGGTGATTTCTGTGCCTTTTGTTCCTCAATCCATCTTCCTCCAGCAGGGGACAAGGAATTCACTGATTTACCAGTGAATGCAAATCCTTCCTCTATATTTTAGGAAGGGCTGGCAAGCAGATTGTCGTTTGTAATAACTGCTTACCCACAGATGCGTGTCTTAGGAAACAGGCAGCATGAATTCTTTCTACATGCTGGTATTTAAAATAGACAAGACCTTTAGATAGTTCCTTGTGTTTCAGTTATTCTGAAACATTGATAAAGCACAAAATAGAATACATAATTTATAATGAACTTATGGTAATCTTTTTATTGATGCATTTTAACTACTTTTATGGTTTGTTCAGATTTCAAGCTATACTTCTAACGTATTGTCAACTTAAATTTATTAACAGTTTACCTAAAGAAGAAATAGCCTTAGGTAAAGGAAACTTACCTAACGATAAAGGGTAAAACCCTTCTAGCATAACATAATAATGTTTGATTCCACAGTATCTAGGATACTGTAAGCTGCATAGTCATTTTTAAATATTTATTTGGAAAATAAAAGGAAGGAGTGAAAGACAAGCAACAAAAAGTAACATAAAAAAATGAAAGAAAAACAGAATGTAATGTGCAAAATGAAAAAAAAAAAAAGGTAATTTTATAATGCCGACACAGGAAAAAAGCCATCAGTCAAGAGGAACAAGTATGATTGCTATCAACTGACACATTCAACTCTACCTGTACAAATCATTCGATAATTACTATAAATTTGTATGATACAATATCACAGTTTGGTAGCTAATCCCCTCATATGTAAATCACTACTAAAATTATATTTTTAAATCTTATTTTCTTTGTATAAAGCTGTGTATGTTCACATAATAGAACAATACCATTTATTCATCCAGAAGCTAAGTACAAAGTAAAGGCTGATCTTCAAAAAAAAGAAGAGATCATATAATCATATATTACTTAAGAAATTATCCCAGTAATTTAGCAGATTAATGCTTACCTGTATATCTTTGCCAGCCCATTTGCATTCATCTCTTCTGGTATAAGACACTGGCCACACGATCTAAGGACAGAGAAGAATCATTTTTTTAGGCCAAGTAAATTTGTCTTATTCTATAATCTTTTTTTGTATTTGTTTGGGACAAGAGGGAAGTGAATACTATATGGAGGAATAGCTCAACATTTCTTTCTTCCTTTGAACAATAGCTAAGGAGTTTCTGCGTACTGAAGTCATGCATTCTTCATCTATCCACTATTTTTGGCTCCGTATGGAATTAGAGTTGGAAATCAATTAATGTGATCGATAGAAGCAAGATTGTAGTGTGGCAAGAGCTGCTGCCCTGGGTGGAAAAGAAAGGTCCGACTGGAAAATATGAGGACCTAGGTGAATATTGGCAGAGAACTTCCTCATGCTCTTCCAAATTTCTTAATATTTTCATGAAGTAGTGGTTCTCAAAATTTACTACTAGGAAACTCTGCAACTATCTCTCTGAACCAAATTCCAGAATGGCATGCTAAGGTGAGACCTGAAATGTTTGGAAAACACAGCTTGCAGTGTAATTTTTCTCTTTTGCTCTCTCTCTCTCTCTCTCTCTCTCTCTCTCTCTCTCTCCACTTGAAAATAAAGAATATTTAAGAATAACAACCTCTGTTTTGAGAATATATAAGTGGAAACAAAGAAAAACTGTAGCTCTAAAAAACAGCTTCTTTGACTGGGCATAGTGTTCCTTAGTTATAATCCTAGTACTTGGGATGCTGAGCCAAAAAGTCTTGCCTGGGTTTCATATATCTTCAGTTCAAGGCCAGGCTACTCTACATATACATAGTGAGTAGAATAAGTCAGGCTTACGTATCCATAGTAAACCAGGCCAGCCAGCCAGAGTTTCATTTACATAGTGAATTGGGCCTCTCAGTGCTACCTGAGATATGATATGATATATATATATATATATCATTATATATTACTATACACAGGTAGCACTGTGTATATATGTGTGTATATGTATATATGTATATATGTATATATTCAGTACATATACAAAGCCTACACATAAAAGTGAGTTTAGGGCTTGATTAGGATACATATACAGAGTGAGTCAGGCCAGACAAAGTTACAGGTGCATAGTAAGCACAGGAAACCAGGACTACGTGGCAAGACAGTGTCTTGCTAAAACAAAATAATAGAAGTCACTCAAAACCTAACCTAGTTAAGTGTTCTTGTGTGTGTGTTAATTCTTCTTCTTGCTAATCTGCTCACAATAAGTGTTACTGGAGGTTCTATGCAGTAGAATATATCTTCTCTATAATAGCAATACCAATATTGTCATCCAAACTTTTGTATAAAAATTTACAAATTTCAAGAACAATTTCGCTGGGTCTTTCTTATCTGTACTGGGCAGAAGAATTTATTCCTCTTCCCTCCGTTTTCTCTTCAAGTAATATTTGCTCATTCCAGGGGGGGATGTCATGCATTAAATAAAAATCCCGGGTCAGTAGCCGTTTATTATTTATGCGTGCGGGAAAGCTTTCAGCCTCAGGATGATTGATCACCACTCATCTGACGCCTCGAGATAATTCACTGCGAATGGTCACAAGCTCCGGCAAAGTTTGAGATTTTCACCCCAGGAACTGGAACACCAAATGCGGCAGAGTTGTAAACAAGGACGCAGGAGTCACTGAAATAACGCGGCACCTTGAGAAATATATTCTAAGTTCGTGGCACAAAAATGATGTTTAAGAGGATAGTGGCGGTGCCATCATTTTTTTTTAGCAACAAATTCTTAATGTATGTATTCTCTTTTAGATGAATTTCTGTCCCTATGTGTCTTTGTGTCTAAACTATAATTGACATCAAACGTGTTCCGCATAATGCAGTCACACAGTGCAAACATTTAAAAATAGTACGTTTATCATCTTTACCAGCCAGAACATCACTCTGAATCTTGACATTCTAGAGGTGGCAGTGCAGTCTTACGACACAGCTGCTTTCAGGTTGGTGGCTGAGGTCAGGAAGAGTTTCTTTTAAATTTAAAGTTCACAGTGGATGAGAAAAAAAATATAATGTTACTGTATCCTACAGTAAACTAAGATTTATAGACTGTCACAATGAACTTCTAGCTAAGTTGTGCAAAAATTATAGATTTTATTTATATTTATGTATATATATACTATAGATATAAGGTGTTTTAAAACTATTTACATATATGCTAAGGTATTTTAAAGCTTATTTTGTGTTTTTTTCTTTCTGTTCCATACTAATAAAATAAATTTTATATTTATATTACATTTCATTTTTTCTTTTCTTCAAAAATAGCTTGCTTCCCATGTCTTAGTTTTCTACTCTGTTATTTAAGGTGTGTTCATGTGAAGGTGTGATGTTGATGTATGGACACCAGAAGTCAAGATTGCGAATGTTTCTTAATTGCTCTCCATCTTATTTTCAGGGTGGGTCTATGAACCATGAACTCATAGATTTGCCTAGACTAACTAAGCAAGTTAATAGAATCCTCTTGTCTTGGTCTCTTAAAAACGAGAGATACAGGAATGCTCTTTGACCCTGATTCTTTATGTGGACACGGGTGATGAAATGCTGGTCATCATGGTTGCCCATCAAACACTTTCTTTTTTGGATGAGATGTTTACCATCCATATATTTGTTCTTTACAATGATTCTATACTTTTTTCAATGATTCTGAGAATGAAATGCAGAGACCCGTGCATACTAGGCAAGAACTCTATATCATTAATATTTCTACCCTCCTTATTCATGTTCATATTAATCATTTAGACTAAATGGATTATATTCATAATTTTCAGAAATGTGTTCCTTCTCTGATTCCTCAAAACTCAATAATGCATTTTTTCCCCAAAGAGTGGTTGGCTCAGTGGTCACCTTTAAGTTAACACATTTAATTTTACTGCTGCAAGGTCATGAACTATTTAGGACATAACACAGCATGTCCTAAATGCATAAATATCATAGAATGTCCTAAAGATCTCATCATATTATTATTTATATTTGGAATGTTTTAGTGATCATTTAAACATGGCAAAAAATAGTCAGCTAAAATTGAGTTCACTCTTTTAAATAAGGTGATATAATTAATAATTATTGTTTTATTAATGAGATGTCTTAATCTTTGAAGCAGATATTCCATTTTAGAACTTGAAATTCAAGGGCAAAACCTGTAACAATAATAATATGACAATATTCAGGATCTTTAATTTTTTATTTATTCATTGAATCAATTATTGTTAGTAACAGTCTAACCAACAGAAGATACTATTATGTGTGTGTTGAAAAGTTTATGGCCTGTGATAACTTGGACCCATGCTATATGAATATATGTCTCTTGAATTTGTCTCACTTATAAAATTATAGGGATTTGATTTGATGAATTGGTTCTTTTAAATTTTAGACGATTTATTTCATTAGTAAAATTTATGACATATCTAAAGGAAAATGTTATATACATGATTTATATAATCAGAAAAATCACATATTTTCTATCATTTATCATCTGTCTGTATCTATCTATCTATATACCTATCTAATGTATCATCTATCTGGCTAATCTAATATCTATCATCTAATACCTATCTGTTTCAATATCTGAAAATGAAGTTTACAAAATGACAAAAGCTATCCTGATAATTTAAAAAGTTGAAATTCCAGATGTTCTAGGTCTCTAATTCTTTTCACAAAGAATGATGCCTTTGGATAGAATATCTGCACCAAAATTCTCCTCATTTTGTGACCATTTTAGAAATCTTTGAAAAAACATTTTATCATTTCATTGCTATTATGATGATATTTAAAAGACACTCTGTTTCAAAAATCAGAAATAGAAGTACCCTGGTTATGTTTTAGCATCACAATTTTACTGTATTTGAACTGTAATTTTGTATGAATAAACAAAATGTATAAAAGAAATTTATGCTATATATATATATATAAACTTTTGTGGTTAGGTAATAAAAACGTGAAAATGACAGATTTAAAGTAATATTAAGGCCAGGCAGTGGTGGCACACGCCTTTAATTCCAGCACTTTGGAGGCAGAACAGGTGGATCTCTGTGAATTCAAGAAGCTGCTATAGAAAGGCTTTGTATCTCACGGGATTAAGGCTGGAAAGCTAAGGAAATTTGGGTGACTATGGTATAGCATGCAAACACAGCAGAACAATTCTGTTTACTTTGTCAATCTGTATTTGTTCTAAAATTCATATAGGTCATTATTGAAATGAGCCAGAAATTTAAAAAGAATATAGCTAAAAATAGCACCCTCCTTATGTCTAAATAACCAAGCTTGCAGAAATCTGATGCCAATGCCTTGAAATATGATTTTTTAGATGAGGGGTTGCAAATCTCATTTTAGAAGAACAATTGTCCATATTGTGGCATTAAGAGCCATGCAATTTGTCATGACTCCTCCTCCCTTTTACATACAGATACATGTTACATGATAGAACAGAGATGATGGTACTTTATTTTTGGCTGGAGAAATAAATAATGAAAGAAGAATAAACTAAAGTTTATTTTTAATAGTGGCCATTCAAAGTACTATGATTTCTTCTTTGTTGATATTATGGCTTACTACACCTATTTGCATGTTGTTATCATTCATTTCATATATGTCTGGGGAAAAAATCCTTTTAAAATTTAGTTCTGTAAGTTGTCCTGATGCTACTGGAGAATGTCATAAAAATTTCAGTGTTCAAAAATAATTGGAAAATATATATATAATATATTAGAATAAAATACCTTTTGAAAATCTTTAATATTCACCAAGTTGAATGAAAATATATGATCCTTCGCTCCAACATACAGCCTACTCCTCTCCTCATCCAAAAGAAAAGTGTGGTAACTGGAGCTGTTGGCCAAGCCATTGAAAGTGATCACGTTGTTGGAGTCCATCATTTCTGAAAGGAAACAAAGCAAGACAATGGGAATTAATGTGAGTCCTTCAAAGTGGACACTATTGGTGTATGGTAATCTGATGTTCTACTTCAATGGCAGTCAGTCCTTACTAATCATGATACTAAGAAATACAAAGGAGTCAATACACACACACACACACACACACACCCTCACATTAGTGTAATAGTAATCAGTACATTGATTTTATTCCAAGATGGCACATGCCTAAACAATAAAAACAATAAAGGAATGAAATTACTTGTGAAAGAAAATGGTCCAGTGAGATACATTCATATGTTGTCATGGCCTAGTAACAGAACCTTGAGGTCCTTCTTCGGCGATATGTTCCTGAGAGGAAGAACCAGGAGACCAAAAAGGAAGAAGAAGAAGAAGAAGAAGANGAGGAGGGGGGGGGGGAGGAGGAGGAGGAGGAGGAGGAGGAGGAGGAGGAGGAGGAGGAGGAGAGAAAGGAAAGGCCAAGGGATCATGAACAAGCTTTGTCTTATTTCTATCAACTTTATTAAGGAGTACAGCATTGCATAGACACTTTCCAGGAAAAGCATACATAATAAGCATAAGTTATCATATAGTGCTATTCAGTCATCAGAAAGCTAATCAAGAAATGGTGCACAAAGGTAGCACAGTATGTCTTAAGTGAGGCACAAGTTGAATGCTGAAGGACTTGTGACTGACACCACAGCCCTTCAAGGAAGGAGCAGTTGAGTTCTCAGGGATCTAGGAAACCATAGCTTCTCTGAGGTCTTGCCCACAGACCATCACTCCCCTTGCTAAACATGTTTCTGGTTTTAGGCAAGGAACTAAGTTTTGTCTCCATGTATTAGGGCCTCGGGGAAAGTCCTGAATCAGCCTGGCTATCTACACAGTAGAATGATCAACATTGTATTTATGCCTTTTGAATGGAATGATGGTTCAAGTGGTTTTATTTGTTCTAAGCCATTAGTTAAAAGACTACTACAAGGTCAACAAGATAGAGGGACTGCAGAGCAAGTATCACTTAACCTCCTAGATGGTTTAGATTGTTTTACTGGGGCATTTTAATTTCTTTTGACCATTTATTTTTCTATACTACATAAAAACTTTGTAATATTTAGTGGCTAAAACATAGAGATATTAAATCATTTAGTATAAGCATTTATTTTAATACAATCTCTTATTGCATTTTCTCTCTTTCGCAGCATCTCTATGGGATAAAAACACTGCAGTAGTCCAAATTCTGCCCCGAATTTGTTTTCCATGTTCTTCCAGTACATATTTAACACACGTTCTAAAAAGTTTCTGTGTGAATCCACTAAACATTGTCTCTCCTGTGAGAGAATCTTGCCTCTTCTTTAACTCCCAACTCACCGGGGAAAAAAAGGCTTGTTAGAGATTTCCATGCTTTATCTATGTCTCTACATTCTAATAACAAAAATGAGTTCATCAGAGGGATATAGGTCAGTATTTAGGTATTACGTATATAGTATATAAACTTATACTAAACAGAACTGTTTATAAATATATAAACATAACCATATCCACTTATGGGACCCTATTACACCTTTCTTTGTCTTCTAGATTACATGATCACATGATCTACCATCATACATTCTTTGGCCTTTTGATGCCATTGTCTGTGACTCCTACAACTACTTGATTCCTTAAAAGAAATCTATTTTTACAGGCTACCTCACTGTTCTTTCTAATTTTAAAAACTAAAACACATCCTATTGCCAGTGAGTCCAAATTATAGGCAGCCAAGCAAATTTAAAACATTAGCTTGTATTAAATCCATTTAGGAAACTTTAAGCAAAGGAAAGGTCAACTAAGAAATGGAACTTATTACAAACATGTTGGAAATATATAAGAGAACTGTAAGTATCAAGTATAAGAAGCTGAGGAAAAATCATTGCTATGCTTTTAGGAGTTTCCCGTTTATAAGAAAAGGACCATCACTATAGTACCTTTGAATTAAAAGGGTCTATTGTAACCAATCCCTTATACCTTGGGCCTCAGTATTGTGTAAGATGTGATGAACAATGTCTCTCAAGAGTTATTATGAAGATGTGGATCAAACAGAAGTTTACATAATAAGCACCCAATGAAAGATTTTCTATATGTACAAGTAAAAATTAAATAAAAGTATGGATGCTCTTGGAGACATAAGGAATTAGAGTTCATATGGGATATACTGAAAATTCCACATTTTCATCGGTCTCACTGAGTTCTGTTTTAGATACTTCGTCACTGCGACAGAGGCCCAATCAAAAACACGATAAAGAAGAGTATATTTGGACCAACAGTTTTGCAGGTTGCATGCAATTCCTGTTGGGTTTGTTTCATTGCTTTTAGGACTGTAGCAAAAAGGAGACATCGTGGATGAGGGGCACTGCAGTGGAAAACTATCACTTCATGGCAGCCCAGAAGCCAGGAGCATTAGAAATGGGGCGTGAGTGACCAGACATGTCCTTCAACGGCATTCCCTTAGTGATAGATTTCCTACAGCCAGGCGCTGACCCTTATTTTCCATACCATATATAATGCTATCATATTATGAATCCATCAATAAATTAAGGTGCTGGTTAGTTCCAAGCCCCCATAATCTAATCACTTCTCAATGCGCGGCTACATCCCTTCGTGGACTAAGTCTTAAACACAAAAGATTTTGGGGATACAACATTCATCAAATGATGTCAGGTGCTAACATCAAAAACTGTTGTTTTATACAGGGAAGAAATAATTAATAGAGGCATGTGATCTTGTATACTAATTCTTAACATATATGTCTATATACTATTAAATATGTGGCCTTGGTATATTCTTAATTTTAAGAACAATGAAGTATTTTTGTGATTTTCTATATCATCAATTTTAAATAATAAGAATGACTTTTTATATATAATTTTAAACTATTTATATGTATTTTTAAACAATTGAAGGATCCTTCCAACAGAACTATGCTACTGGCTGAATATAAGTTTGGCAATAACTGTGCATTTTTACATATAGACAGTTAAATGTTCTGGTAGCATATATATGAAATCACCCTGGAAACAAACTACACGTTTAAAAATGTGCTTGTGAGTACAGTTAATTATAAAAGAGTATTCCTGGGTAGAAGTTCTTTTCCATTGTTCTTGAATGTACTTACTTTGTCTTCAGTCCATCACCCGAATGTTACTCTAATAATTTGGCAAGGGTATGCAAACAACGAGACAGTCTTTTCATGGCCCTCAGACAGTCATCAACATGAGCTTTCTCTACCATGTCCTGAATTCAAATCAAACACCTTCCTCACACCCAAATCTACTTCTCAAGATTCTGTTTTCTTTGTTTACATTTATGATTTTGATTTTCTTAGCTGCCAACAAATCTCAAGTGCAATTGATGGCAAATATTTTCAACTCTGAATTTTCCCCTGCAATATCCAGGCTGTTCCTTCTTCATTTCTGTTATGCAAATCAGTGACATAAACTGGTGTTGGAGCTGAAATCAACCCTCAGTAATGGGAGATACTTGTTAAATACCATAAGGGAGAACATACTGATCTTAAGTCCATGGAATCTACACCAAGTGTGTAGTGCAATCAACATAGTGACTCAGGACAATGCAGACGACAGGAATAAACTTGTAGATGGTTTGGCAGGGAAAACAATTTATGTCACGTTAAGCAGCCTGGATTAATCAGTTATGGATAAATTACATTTTCCTTTAAGCTTTTAAAAATAGCCTTTCAAAATTTAAAACATGTAGATTCTACAGAGTTCTACTCAAACTTAAACAGAGCAAAGTAAGGGACTATACTCGATCTGTCGTAGAAATACACATCAGATTCCTGTTGCAGAAGAAGACCAGGCTGTTCACTCCACCTAATTTTCTGTTTATAAGCATCCCAAATTGCTTTCCTGTTCCCTATCTATCACAGATTTTCTTATAGATTCATTTGGGGAAAGAAAAAAAAGGAAGAGGAAAAAATCATAAAACATGATCACTGTCAGCTATTAGTTAAGATACTGAAAAATAACTTTATAAACTAACTTTCAAGTTTTTAACATGTGTCTTACAAAATGAGTAATTATCTTAAACTTTGACAAGATGATTCACCTCTCTGTAATACAACTGTATAGCCTCTGTGAAATTCTGGTTATGTTTAGTATAAACACAGACTTACACACATGGTTACATTTCAATGACCATGTCAAATTCTGAAAAAGTGGTGAACTTCATATTTGTCCAATATTCAAGACCGACCTGAACCCAGCCGCTTCTAGTCAGATTCAGAAGCTCTGTTTGCTGCCTTCTCTCATCTAAACAAGATTAGTTTTGCTTTCTTCCCCTTTGCAGTACTAACCCTCTCTCCCTCCACATCCTCTTCTTCCCCATCATCCCTCCAATCTTTATAGCAGGAAGAGTACCAGGACCCCACAAGTTGCTGGACTCAAATGAATTGCTTGTATTCATTGACGATTTTAGGCTCTCGGACTTTGCCATGACTTAAACCTTGTCCTTTCCTTACAACAAGCATGCCTTTTACAAATCATCAAAGGCTGAGCCCATAAGATGCCAAAACATTCTGACCTAATGGTGCCCACCTCTAGATACTTGTAAATATTGTAAAGTTCAGTCAGGTTAAACAAATTCACATCCTGCATTTTAGTGGTACATAGGCATTTTCACTCCCTCTTCTTTCTCTTTGAGCTTTGTCTTCAACGCTCTGCTATGCCACTAGCAAAAACAAAATGAAGTCTATTATTATCCATCCATTTTATTCTCATTTTAGATTTTTACATCACTAAGTACTGGGTTTTAAATCTTTCCAGCAGGCAGATCCTATCCACAGACTTTTGAAGGCAAACACTGTTGTTACTTGAACTTTGCTGAGAATAGTTTCCACTCATACCATTTTTGGCCACTGCATCTTCACATTGCATAGATTGGTCCAATATACTGGCTGTCTACGTCCTGTTGTTTAGTTGTTGATGTTAAGCATATATTCACAATTTAC